ATGGAATTGGGGAATGGGAGGAACTGATGTCATGTCCCCCAAGATGACTGCAAGCTGCATATTCACTCTCAAATGTAAAACGAAAATAACTGATCGGAAAGATCGCCAAGCCCAAGGTGCTTTTCCCGCAATCTCATTTTCTGTGTTTATAAACACATCTTCAGAAAGAAGTAGCCTACTGCTTTCTTTGTGACTTTGTTCCTTATTACAATTATTTTCCTAACAATATTTTTCCAGTATCAAAGACATATTTTATTTCCTTATTTTGTCCTTAGTTTATTCTCTCTATCTCTACCTTTAAATATCACTAAACGTACAGTATCATTCTGTAACTGCTAAGTAGCTAAGCATTACACACTTGGCCTCTTTTATTTTTCCTCAGATAGCAACCTAAATGTATTCACAATTTTCAGATGTACTTTTCTAAACATCTGTTAGTTGGACTCTCTTTTTCAACACCGAGTGCCAAATATGTAACAGAAACATTGCATTTTTACCCGCTGCTCCTACTTTCCAAGCTGAAGGAAGCCCTTGGACAGCACAGAGATGTTTATGAAGTAAAATGAGCAGAAGAGAAAAAGGCTTTTCCCCCCAGAAAAGTTAGTGGCCAGATTAAAGGTCACTAGATTCGGTTTGCAAGGCTGAAATTGCCTAGCGATCATTTCCACAGCAAAACCACAGACAATTATGCATCCTCCAGGTCAGCAATGTGGGTGATAAAACTGTCTGGCACACTATCACTGACAAATGTGAGCTCATAGCTCAGCTGAAATTGAAACCAGTTATGAAAGAGAACTAGCAGATGCCACAGGCCTGCACACAAATATTCCAGGCGATCTTGCAAATCAAGTAATTAACATGCATCTTTGAGGCTCTGCTTTGTGAAAGCCTCTGCACAACACTAAGCGGCAATTCTGTGTTTGTTTGTTTCTATCTTTCTTTCTTTGTTTTTTATTCTGGTTTTAATCTTGACCCTGCTAGTTAATAGCACCTCTCTGAGTCTATGAAACGGGGAAAATCATACCTATCTCTCAAGATCATTATTTGTTGCAGCAGTCTGGACCTGGTCAGGAAAACAGGACCACGTCAGTTATTTTAACACAGAGAATTTAATATAGGGAATTGCCTAAGCAGTTCTTAGAGAACCAAAAAAAAACCAAAAAGGGGGCAGTGAAGATGCAGTTACCACCCCAAAGGCTGGGAGAGCAGAGGGCAGTGGTTGGAGCTATTAGAACCTCCAGGGGTGGGCAAACTTTTTGACTCGAGGGCCACAATGGGTTCTTAAACTGGACCGGAGGGCCGGAACAAAAGCATGGATGGAGTGTTTGTGTGAACTAATATAAATTCAAAGTAAACATCATTACATAAAAGGGTAGGGTCTTTTTTTTTTTTTAGTTTTATTCATTTCAAACGGGCCGTAGTTTGCCCACGGCTGACTAGACCCTCGAAAGAAGAGTCCTGTGGGGCTGAGACACCCACTTCTGGGGGAAGGGGTGACAGCTTCTGAGGTACTATCATCACAGGAGCTTCGGGGCCCGCAAAGCTGAGCTTCTGCTGATTCCAGGAAGGTGCAAACGAGAGCTGGACATGAACCAATTGCCACTGCCAGGGTGACACGCCCTTGCCAGGTGACACTCTCAAGTACCAGCAAGTACGCAGGAAGGAGCAAGTCTCTCCTCCCGCTCAGCCTCAGTTTCCCTCTGGCACCTCTAGCAGAGGAGAAACATGATTTCGAAGAGCCCCAGCTTCACAAAGCAAGAGTTTGGAGACTGGGTTTGGAGCTGAGAGATAGTGGCTTACTACACGGCCCTTTCATCCATTCATTATGTGACTTATCCAGCGCTTGCCACGTGTCTGATCATGAGGCTCTCTGCTAGATGCTAGGAGTCTGAAGAATTCAATGGAAAACTCATAAATGAAGTGCACAGCTCAGTGACTAGTGCAATGTAGACCCAGCTCTCCTCTCTCAGGCCCGGTGAGAAACATAAGGAAAAAGGAATGGAAAACAAAACACCAGCTCCTACTTTTTAAGAGTTCTGCGTTATGGGGTAAATCAAAGAGCAAAGTATAAAATCATACATGTTTGTACACTTTAAAAAATATTTCAGACATAACTGTTTTAAGAATTCAGGAGCAAACAAATATGTCGGGGACTATCAGGGAAGCCTTCACAAAGACAAGGAGAATGAGCAACACCTTAGCACTTAGACAATGGCCCAAAGGGGTGAGGCCATGATAAATGGGAGGAAGCGCGTGCGTAACTCAAACATGGTGGGAACTTCCTGGGAGCTTACATTGCAGCCCCGACCTCCGGGAATGGAGGATGCTTTGTGACATGGAGGGTGGAAGATGGGGCCAGTAGAACATTTCTTGACACTCTTCTAGGGGATAGATGAGCCATTGGAGTTTTTTGAATAAGTAGAAGTTATGTGTTAAAAATATTATCTTTGTAGCCCTTATCAGATCTAACATGATACCTTACATATAGTGAAATATTTGAGGAAAAAGTATTACATTGAATAGGATGGCATGGACTGGGATGGAATTTTTAAGGCAGGTCTTAATTTTGAAAATCTGCATATAGATTCTTCTGTTTTAATTATAATAATAAATACTTTGGAAAGTGTTTCGAGCAATCAATGAGCAATTTTAAGTCTAAGTTCAGGAAATAAAAAGATTCAAGCAATGATAAAAATTTAACAAGTGAAGATGTAACCCACCAAAAAGACACCATGCTCATTTCTCAGACTGAACATGACATTGGGCAGCTTTGGCTTCACAGAGACTGGGAGGGGTTGTTGAAAGTATCATAGACCTATGCAAAAAATGTATTGGGCAGTATGTTTTTTAATCAATTTTAGTGACTCATATAGAAAAAATAATATCAATGGTGTGAATTTTGAATATGAGTCTGCAGAGTATACGGTGTATTCACACCTAATCTGCTGTTTTTCTCTTGGCAGATCCATTACAAGATTTTGGCTTTTCTATTGACCAGTGTTCCGAACACTTAAAATCAAATATCAACATTAGATTTGGAATCATTCTGAGTAAGTAAAAATATTGACATGAAATAAAACAACCTCTTCCTGACTCACTCACCCAATTACTTGTATTAACTGGAGTGGCTGGCTCAGCCCCTGCTCCCCAGCACTCTGTGGAATTAAATCTACTTCCATCTTCCTCTTCAGTTCTCTCTCTGAGTAACATCCAGATAGAGTAAAACTCTCATTTAATGTTGTGATTTTTGTACTGAAAAGACTCTAGGCACTCATTTGTATGATATAAGCACCTGGAATCAGTATACCCGACAGAGAAAGAAAATATTTTGAGCTTAAGCATTGATGTTTGCTCAGGAGAGAGTTTTTGTTTAGTTATTTCAGCAACAAACAAGTCTACTACCAGCAACATGGCTAGTCTTTGTGTTGTTTCATTTCCCAAACAGCTAATATAAGTTCTTCAATCTTGACTCAGTGAAACGTGTGTAATATCTTCTCACTCCACCCCAATCAATGAGCTCCAATGCTTTCTGATTGTTTACATTTGTATGGTCATGCCATAACAATTAATCGTCATATTGCTATAGTTACTAGAGTATCGCTTTTCTAAAAGAGTTTATCAAAACCAGAGCAGAGGATTTAATAAACTTAGCATGGGGAGTCAGTCCACAGAGATGGAGGGAACATTCCCAGAGTCTAAAGACTCTCATGCATCCTTGTATTTCTCAAACCTCACACAACGTCTGGACTCTATAGCAGCAGCTCAATACATGCTATGAGGAGAGACAGAGAAATGCAGAATGAAAGGAGAATGGAGCAGAACATAAAAAGAGGAATGGAAGAAAGTTTCAGAAAGAATTGGAAGCCAGCACTGCAGAGCACCCTGAAGCTTCCTGTGTAATTATGCTACAACATCTGCCCAGCAACAGTGGGGGTGTGCAGGCTTGCTCACACCCCGGCGCTGTCAGGGAGGTATCTAATACTATGGGGCTGAAAAGTGATAGAAGCCAGACTTGCAGCCACCACATTAAGGGGACATGGCATCAGGACAGGAGAGCGCAGCAGATAAACTATCTCCTCCAAGCAGATCAAGTTTGTGAAAGCACCTCATCTCATACTCAGGGCTGGCACCACAGTCCCCTGCACCACTGCCTCAATCAGTGGTTCTCAACCTTCCTAATGCCGCGACCCTTTAATACAGTTCCTCATGTTGTGGTGACCCCCAACCACAAAATTATTTTCGTTGCTACTTCATAACTGTAATTTTGCTACTGTTATGAATCGTAATGTAAATATCTGATATGCAGAATGTATTTTCATTGTTACAAATTGAACATAATTAAAGCATAGTGATTAATCACAAAAACAATATGTAATTATATATTCAATATGTGTTTTCCGATGGTCTTAGGCGACCCCTCTGAAAGGGTCGTTCAACCCCCAAAGGGGTCGCGACCCACAGGTTGAGAACCGCTGGCCTAAATGTTGTTTTACCAAGAAAACGGTTCCCTGTGCAGCACAGACTGCTGGAAATGCAAGTTCTTGGGGCTCATACTTGTATAAATTTTGAATGCTTTGATATGCAGAAACCCACACTAGGTAAAGCCCATCTCTTTTCCTTTAGGAGAGGACATAAAAGAGTTGTTTCTTGATGCAAGTCTCTTGACAGAAGGAGTGCCCTTTTTGAATTACTCCTATCCCATCTGTGAAGAGGATCTCCCCAAGTTTTCTTTCTGTGGAAGAAGGAAAGGAGGTAAGCTGTCTGTCTTTGTCACTGATTGCTGAGGCCCAGGAACAAGATCTCTGCTGAAGTCAGGACACCCTGTTGGGAATCTGTGGACAAGTTTCACCTCACATGTCAGCATCTAAGTGCTGTGTCATGTGCTGTTACATAAAAATAACCGTAAGGCTCTTCCACAGGGCCTACCTGATAAGGTGGGTGTGAAAATCAAATTAAACACCCATATATAAGGTACTTTACAAACACAACATGTGTTAATGATGGCACTTCATTTATTAAAAAAAAAAGGAGGGTTGGCAACAGAAAGAATCAGTAGCTTCCCCAAATCCATTGCTGTTCGGTGTTTCCAAGTTCCTCCTCAGCAATCTCTTTACTGGCAGGGTCTCCTCAATATAGCAATGGACTCTGAAAAAGAAAAAAAAATGGGAAGCTTTCTGACTGTCAGCATGCTGTAGTCTTTCTCATTTGAGTCATTGACTGATGGGGCAGTAGGTGGCTACATTCAAAGTACAGATGTGTAAAACCCATGGTATTATCACTCTTTCTCCACCCACTAGGCCGCCATCCCTGCCATCCATACCTCAGTAGAGCCCAGGAGCCCCCCTCCAGCCTTTCCCACCTCTCTCTCCTCCCAGTCCTCACCCCCCATCTTCACCAAGACCCTGAGATGCCTCTGTTTATTTAACCAAAAGTTGGGTCTGCTCTGTGACTTTCCTTCCCCAGAAATTGTTCCTTTCCTCTTCCCAGGGTCTCCTTACCATTCCCATTGGCCAAGGGGGAACATGCCCCTAATCCCACACCCTTGAGATACTCACTCATATATTTCCTCATTCAGGGAAGCTGGAGGGAAATCACCTAATTATGCTTCCAAACAAAGGCTCTAAAGAAATTGGATCCCCTTCCCATAGTGACGATGCAAACTCAGACGCATCCGTGTATTTCCTCAGCACGGAGGGCTGTTCAGTAGCTGGTCCTTATTGAACTTTTTCTACCTGTCCTCAGCCATTCCTGTCTCAGACTCCTCACCCCACAATCAGCCACTTTTTCTTTCCTTCCTTCCCTTCTTCCTCATTCACTTCTTCCTTCCGCCCTTCCTCCCTTCCTTCAATACTAAGTCTCTACTGTGTGAAAAGCACTTCGGGGAGCCTGAAGATGGACCAAGGATGGTTTCTGCCTTCAAGGACATTGATGATGGCCTAGAGGAGACTAGAAACCCACAAAATTCTGTGTGGTGTGTGCATTAAAGAGGCACAAACAAAATGCCAAGGAAACATGAGAGTTATAGTTCATTCCCAACAGCTTGACCTCTTGGAAAATGAAAGTCTGAAAAATGTAATATAGAATTATTTTCCTGTTTGCCTGAAAGTTATTTGAAATTCGGTTACAGGCTTTTCAGCATTCATTATATACTAGTATATATGGTTTGTGCACAGCATAATAATGCTGGTAGTCTACAAGCATTCCTGATTTTATAAAATGTTTTGAGGAATTCAAAGCAACTTGAGTTGATAATTAAATAATAACCCCCGAGAAGACTGACAACTCAGTAGGCTGCCACCTAGAGTCAGCATCTACAGTCCTATCTCCCATGTTTGCTTATCGTTCCAATTTTCCCCCCAAAAAATTATTTTTGAACCCAAATGTGGAAACAGGTATGCTTGGAAGTACTACTAGCTTAGTAAGAAAGAACCCATACTGGGCTGTCCTTTTGTTCCTTTGTTCCTACTTTCTTCTATTCTCCAGATCAAATCTCCCCACCTCCTTCCTGGAAGGTGGAAATGACCTCCAGCCTGGTTTTCCTAGTTCCTTACTGCTGCTGCGGGGAGGGGTAGTCTTCCCAAATACAGTGTTGATCGTGTTACCCCCTTCCCAAAAGATTTCAGGGGTTCCCATTTCTTTTTTTTTTATTGTTTTATTGCTTAAAGTATTACAAAGGGTATTACATATGTGTCCTTTTTTTTCCCCCGCCCTTGACAATCCCCTGGCCTCCCCTACCCCCCAGTGTCTTATGTCCATTGGTTATGCTTATATGCATGCATATAAGTCCTTCAGTTACCCCCCCCTTCTGCCCCACTACCCTCCCCAGCCTTCCCACTGCAGTTTGACAGTCTGTTTGAGGCAGCTCTGCCTCTATATCTATTTTTGTTCATCCTATCTAATAAAAGAGAAACATAGTAATTGGCGTACGACTGCTACCCTTCCCATTGGCTAATCAGAGAGATATGTAAATTAACTGCAAGCCAAGATGGCGGCCGGCAGCCAGGCAGCTTAAACTGAACATGAGGCTTGCTTGCTTCAGTGACAGAGGACTGCAACGTTCCCCGCCTGCCTTGCCGGCCTCTGAACCTGCACTTTCAAACATTGTAACAAATATAGACACTAAACAAAACCCCAGAAACCAGCTTTCAGCCACTGGGATCTCAGAGCTGGAGTTGATACAGAGTTTCGATTATAGAACCGAAACAAACCAGATACCTGCTTTCAGGAGCGGAGGCCTAAGAGCTGGAGCCTCAGAGCTAAAGCTGGCCCAGAATAAAGAAAAAAAGAAGCAGTTGGGAGCTTCAGTCCCAGCCTGAAAACAGCCCTCAGCCCCTCACCCAGACTGGCCAGGCACCCCAGTGGGGACCCCCACCCTGAAGGGTGTGTGACCAGCTGCAAAGAGCCATCATCCCCTCATCCAGGCTGGCCAGGCACCCCAGTGGGGACCCCCACCCTGATCCAGGACACCCTTCAGGGCAAACCAGCTGGCCCCCACACTTGCACCAGGCCTCTATCCTATATAGTAAAAGGGTAATATGCCTCCCAGCACCGGGATCAGCAGAGCCGCGAGGCCTCCCGGCACCGGGATCAGCGTGACAGGGACAGCGCCCAAACCCCCTGATCGCCCTGTGGCTCTGTGTGTGACAGGGGGCGCGGCCACAACCTCCCTATCCACCCTGCTCTGTGTTTGACAGGGTGCGGCGCCCCAACCCCCCCATCCCCCACGGGCCCTGCTCTGTGTATGATGGGATAGAGCCATAACCTCCCCATCAACCCTGCCCTGAGTGTGAGAGTGGCGGTGCCCCAACCCCCTGATCGGCCCTGCTCTGTGGGTGATAGAGGGTGGCGCCCCAACCAACCCCCCCCCCCCCACGGGCCCTGCTCTGTGTGTGACGGGATAGAGCCATAACCTCCCCATTGGCCCTGCCCTGAGTGTGACGGGGGCGGTGCCCCAACTCCCCTATCGGCCCTGCTCTGTGCATGACAGGGGGGAGCTCCCCAACCCCCTGATTGACCCTGCTCTGTGCGTGATAGGGTATGGAGCCCCAACCCCCCTGATGGGCCCTGCTCTGTGCGTGACAGGGGGTGGCACCGCAACCTGCTCATCGACCCTGCCTTGAGTGTGACAGGGGGCAGTGCCCCAACCCCCCAATCGGCCCTACCCTGAGCATGACTGAGGGTGGCATCACAACCTCCCGATCTGCCCTGCTCTGTGCATGACAGGGGAAGGCCCCCCAACTCCCCAATCGGCCCTGCTCTGAGCCCAACCAGGGGCTGCACCTAGGGATTGGGCCTGCCCTCTGCCACCCGGGAGCAGGCCTAAGCTAGCAGGTCGTTATCTCCCGAGGGGTCCCAGACTGCGAGAGGTCACAGGCCGGGCTGAAAGACCCCCCTCCCCCCAGAGTGCACAAATTTTTTTGCACCAGGCCTCTAGTAAGTTTATAATGGTCTTTATTATCCATGAATGAGTGAGATCATGTGGTATTTTTCCTTCATTGACTGACTTATTTCACTTAGCATAATGCTCTCCAGTTCCATCCATGCCGTTGCAAATGGTAAGAGTTCCTTCTTTTTTACAGCAGCATAGTATTCCATCGTGTAGATGTACCACAGTTTTCTAATCCATTCATCTACTGATGGGCACTTAGGCTGTTTCCAGATCTTAGCTATGGTGAATTGTGCTGCTATGAACATATGGGTGCACATATCCTTTCTGATTGGTGTTTCTGGTTTCTTGGGATATATTCCTAGAAGTGGGATCACAGGGTAAAATGGGAGTTCCATTTCAGGGGTTCCCATTTCTATAGAACAAAGTCTAAGTTCTTCAGTGAGCAAGGTTCATCATGGATTACACTCTAATCAGCTTCTCCTGCCACATCTTGGCCCACATGCATCTTCAGCTACAGCTTCATTGAATTATTTGCCACTTTCTGACCACACCCTGTGTTTTGACACATGTGGTGCTATTCTGATGGTGCCTTTCACCTCCAGACTTCACTCAAGTATCATCTCCTCTCAGAAACCTTCCTCCTACCCCAAGCCAGTTAGTTGTTCCCTCTGGATGCCCCTGGTGTATCCCATCCCCACCTATCTCAGCCATCGTTGTATTTTGTATTCTAGTTATATTATGTGTGTGCATGTATACTAGTATGTGTGTGTCCTTTGAAAGCAGGCACTTCAAACTTTGAACTCCTTTGAGGCAGGAATATTTCTTGCTCCTCTCTGTCTCTGTAGACATTACAAAGAGAGACCAGCACAAAGTAAAGATGCAATAAATTCTTGTTTTATTGAATTTGCATGTGACAAAATGAATGCAAGTATCCCACCTCCTAAGTGACTATCTAATGATGGTTACGCATGCCACAAAGACACAGGTGCATCCAGTCCCAGCAACTAGTAAATTATCTTGATCTTCCACATTTAATAAAACCTATTTTTCCTCAGTGAGTGGTTTTAATCCTATAGAATAAAAGGGTAATATGCAAATTGACCGAACAGCGGAACAACAGCAACACAACACCAGTGGCTCCTCACCCCCGTAGGCTCTGCTCCCGAGTGGCTCCCTGGAACCCAACGGGGGGCGGAGCCGACAAACTGCCCACAGTCCCTTGCCCTGGCTAGCCCACCCCTGATGGCTTCCATCAGGGGTAGGCTGGCTGGACCCCACCAGTGCATGAATTCATGCACCGGGCCTCTAGTAGAATTAATAAAACAGAAGAGAGATTGTCCCCCAAATTAAAGTGTTCAATTCTGTTTGGAAGCTCAAAAAGCTGGTTTTGCCTTATTCAAATGCTGGGCAGCCCTTCAGACATTTATTTGCTTTGTTGTCATGGAGTTGATAGCTTCGTAGGCAGGCTGAGAAGCCAGAACTCGGGAAATTGCCAAGAAATTTCATATATATATATAAAATTATCAGAAAAGTAATATACAAATGCTACATGCACAAATAATTATGTAAATTACTAAACCAGAGAAACTAAAACCTTAAATTCAGAGGCTTCTTGGGTTATTACCTTTTTTTAACTCACCCATCAACCCAGTGTAGGAATGATGCTGCTGAAAAGAAGTGAGGACTTCTAAGACCAGAATTAAGAGGAAAACATGCACCAAGGAGGACCTAAGGCAATACAAACCTGAGCATAAGC